CTCGTGACACTGATAACGGGTAGCCATGGTAATTACTGAGAGCGCTGCTGTTCACATCGGATCCGCCACACCCGGTGCATTGTAACGAATGAGAGAAAGAAAGGAAGAGGACAGACCCCCCTTTACCCAGCGAATCCATTCACCCACAGCTCTGATTTACAGACAAAGAGATTTATAGTTGGAGTCTGCGGAATTTGAGCATCATTTATTTAGAGAAATAGCTATACAGACCGTGTTCAAGAAATAGTGGGAATGAATGAGGAGTGGGATCCGCATATTTTGGGCTTGCATAAAAGGGGGTTTAGATGAGGAAAAAAAGAAAAAGCAGTGCAATGGAAAAAAGATGCTTGTCTATAAAACTCCTCAACGTGTTGCCATAGTCTAATGCATTATTAATAACTCTGGTTGCAAAGCAAAATATAATAGGCATGTTCTGCAAAATATGCTTTAATATATCTAATATGTTGAGAAACAATAAGAAGATCGAATAGTTCTATTTTAGATTAGGTAAAGACTTTGAACTAGAATAACACTGGCATTCTTTACATATAGTGTATTCATTGTTGCATTCTGAGACTCTTGTAACGTTACTGTTATTTAGTCGTAGATGCTAAATATGACTCTTTGATGACTTTATACTCTGAAAAACTATTCTTACCTTGGCACCGATTTGGTTTCCGCACTGACCGGCCTGAATATGAACAATCTCCCTCATTGTTAGATATTGTGTGAGAACTTCTCAAATAAACCGGGAAAGTAACGGTGTGGTTCTGCAATAATTTGGAAAAGCCGGACAAAGGTTTTATATTCCTGGACTGTCTCCAGAACGAGGCTGGAATAGTAGTGGGCGGGGCACTGCTAGATGTTGCGAAACCTGATTGGTGCAAGACACATTTTAGTGGCGGGAATTGGAGTGCAGCTCGGAAGTATATAGGGCAGTAGTGGCCAAAACTGGCCCGCCAGCAATAATATCTGGCCCGCGCCCGCAGCCAGATTATTTTGATAGCGGCTGATTCTGAAATAGATCTGTCATGACAGCAACAGTTACTCACAATCACTTCGTCTTTAGTGATTTTGCCTTCAAAATAAAAGTACGAGAACGTTTTTGTAGCAATGTTTTATTTTGAGATGAATTGATAGCTTTTAATTTGAAAAGTTCTGAAAGACATTCAAAAGAGTCTGTGGCTCGCTAGACACACCTCTAAAATAGCCGTCATGAAATGTGTGGTATGAAAAAAACTTAACAGTGAACCATTGAAACATTTACTTATAACCATAGACTGTATAAAACAACGCGGGGCCTCAGCACCAACACGTGAACAATAACAAAGCAAATTCAGCTTCCTTTTTATCAAAAAGATTGACAAGACAATCAGCAAAAATTTCTTGATCATGGATGCAGAACAGCTGGGGGTGCATGCTTATAACTTACTCCTGAAACGACAGAGTAAACAAGAGTAGGCTAGCCTACATGAATAGAGTTAAAGTTAGATTAAGTTTTGGCTATTACACAGGCTTAGTAGGCTACTCACTTAATGTGAAAACAGGCATCTTCCATCAGTCACGATTTTTTGGATGTTGGGTGATATTATGGATGTCACTTTAATTCGCAGACAATTCGTTGCAGATAAGACACATTTGCATTCACAAAACTAGGTAGGATGAACGTATAGTTGTCTTTCCATTCTTCGTTGTATGCCCTATTTTCGCTGTCAACTTTCCACTTTAGACTCTTTGATAGTACAATTTTCTCTCACCAGCTAGCTTAAAGGGGTCATATGATGTTGCTAAAAAGAACATTATTTCGTGTATTTGGTGTAATGAAATGTGTTTATGCGGTTTAAAAAAAAAAACACACATTATTTTCCACATAGCCTACTGTACATTATTGTTTCTCCTCTATGCCCCGCCTTTCTGTAAAACCAGCAGGAGAGCATTGATGATCGGTCTGAAAAGCTAAAAAAAAAAACACACATTATTTTCCACATAGCCTACTGTACATTATTGTTTCTCCTCTATGCCCCGCCTTTCTGTAAAACCAGCAGGAGAGCATTGATGTGTAAACTGAATTTGGAGAAAGTACAGTGTGTTACAGTGAAGTTATTGACTATTTTGTCCAATAACAATGAAGGTAATGGCTATTTTTCAATTTAAATAATCATAAAAAATATGTAAAAGCAATTATTTTCAAAATAACTGTTGTAGTATAACCAGCAAGAAAGCAGTGATGTGGGAACTGAATTTGGAGAAAGTACAGTGTGTTACAGTGAAGTTATTAACTATTTGTCATAATAAAAAAATCATTAAAAAATTTGTAAAAGCAAATATTTTCAAAAATAAATGTTGTAGTATAACCAGCAGGAGAGCAGTGATGTGTGAGCTGAATTTGGTGACACTACAGCGTGTTACTGTGAAGTTATTGAGTATTTTATTAGTAACATTTTTCGTGTTTCGCACTTTGCAGACGGTCCCTTAGGACTTGTCTTTCATACGCCAGCGCATTGAGATCAATGTATTTTGTACAGAGCGAAGGAAAGCTTGGTTTGAGGAGAACTCGCTTGTAGCTCGTTTTCTACATCACTACGAAAGAAAAGAGGCGTCAATTGTGTAGTAAAAATGTTTTGCTCGTGATTTATTGATCCGGAAAAGTCGAACCTGTGAATATCTTGCTAACTTTACCGAACTAGGAAAAATTCTGAGTGTAAAAGTGGGCTATGTCAAATAATTATTACAATAAGTTAGTCTCCATTGTGTAACAAGCAAATGATACACATTTATTATTCACAATATTGAAAGAGGAAATAAAACAGTTCGTTAAGAGCATGACTCAAGCCATTAATGGGCTAATTCAAGTCCTCTTTTATTTTTATTTTTTAGTTATTTTTATCCATTCCGCATCTCCCACATGTGTTTTAGCAAGGCGGTCTGTGTTGCAAGTTGGTGAATGTAGATACTTGCCAGGTTACGTGTCACTACTCTGCTTTATTAATGTATCCAGTGTAAAACCCGGACACCGCCACACAAATGTGGCTTTTTGTTAATGACTGTCCTACTACAGTATTTAACACAGAGTAACGGCTCACTACCAGTTACAAAAGTAACAGTCTGTCACAGGCAATTCTAGTTGCATTTTTCATCAGTTAATTTCTTAAATTATCCTTTGACTGTGTTCTGACCCACCATCTAGTGGCAAATTTTTTTTTGCCCCGATGCCAAACAGGCCGACCCCTGATCTAGACAAAATGTTCCCTTGAACAATTGCTCTTCTATGAAAATAATACGCATATGATAGTCAGAGTCATTGTTATGGTGTATAAATATGTTATGCATTATTGTTTAACTTTTTGTTTAATTTTAATTAATAAAGTTTACCCACTATTTTCTTTATGGATACAAAATGGGGACAATGATAAATATACATTGACTAGTACAGAGCATAAAAGAAGGGAATTGTCTAAAGCTTGCTGCACTGACAAAGCAATAAGGAGCTGATAAAATAACCCGAGACAGTGAAAAGAGTATCAGAGAGAGTGCACACTTCCTTAAAGGGGTCATATGATGCTTATTTAAAGATCATTATTTGGTGTATTTGGTGTAACAGAATATGTTGACATACTTTAATGTTCAAAAAACACATAATTTTTCAAATACTGTACATACTGTACGGTCCTCTATGCCCCGCCTCTCTCAAACGCTTCGTTTTCTACAAAGTCCCTCCTTCCGACAAGCGCAGTCTGCTCTGATTGGCCAGCTGACCCAGAGCATTGTGATTGGCCGAACACCGCAAGCACTCGTCGGAAATGTAACGCCCCTTACCATAATCACGAGCTTCATCTTTCAAAATAAATGTAAAAACAGAGCCCGAAAGGGGAACAGAGTCATGACAGACAGTGATGAAGCTGGTATGTGTTTACAGTACACAAGCCACGGTTAAGACAGCTGACTCCACTGCGATGTGACCCTGTCTCTCTCTCTCTCACACACACACACACACACACACACACAAATATTTCCATATAGTGTGGTAGATATGTGGGGGCGTGTTAGAATGAGCCGTTTTAGGGGGGCGTGGCAGAGTCTTAACTTTGATAAAGAATATCTCTTTGGTTTTGAGACTTTAGTCTTTGCAACTTCAGGGATCTTATCTATGCACAATCAGCTTGTAACACTCCAAAGAGAAAGGAAAACTTGAAATCGCATCATATGACCCCTTTAAGTAACTTAAATATATAAGAACAGTCTAAAGGAATCATGAAAGGAATAAAGAAATGCACAGAAAAATGACCTGTTATGTGGTAAACATGTTTAGTAGCCCACTCTGGACTTCTCTCATTTGCAAAATACTAATAATTTTCTCGTTTTATGCCGTAAATAAATACATAAATAAATAAATATGTGACGAGAGATTCATTTTCTACCTATTTGTTTGAAAAGCTGCATATATTCTGCCACATAATAAGAACAATCCCTTTGATCAGTCATAATGATCAATCATACAAGTCGAAATGATACTAAGTCAAAAATGATGACCTAAAAAGTCAGAATTATAACTCAAACAATTAAAATACTTTAAAAATAGCTATGAAATGAAAAGTCAAAATTATGACATAAAAAGTCCAAATTATTAAATGTAAAGTCATAGTTATGACATATGACACATAAAAATCGACTTTTTAGATAATTATGACTTTATATTATAGTATGTCATAATATTTACATAATTATGATTTAGAATCCCATAATTACGATAATTATGACTTTCTATGTCACACTTATGATTTACCAAAGCATGATTTTGAAAGAATTAAATGGGGGTAGGCTATTTGTTTAGATATCTAAGAGCAAACTAATGAAGGTGACTTATTCCTCAGTTTACAGCAGAGAGCATTCTACCTACTACTCTGTATGACCTTCGTAAAACCTAGTGAACAACCTACCTAGGCTGCATTTTGCGCATCGCGAACGCCCAAAAGTGTAGTGACGGTAGACATCACCTGAGTGTTGTGAATGGGCGTGGCCGAGTTTCCGTGATTACGACGAGCTTTTGCCATTGACACCAGTGAGACAATCCGAGCAACATTTATTTCGTGTTTGATGAAACATCAGCAATCGGTAAGAACATATGGGGTTATCTAAATACCACGAAGTTTCTGAACTTGTGATTCTCAACACCAAAGTAAACTTTAGTCGCTTTAAATACAGCATAGCCGCTGCTAAGTAGCAGCCAAGCATTTCCTGTTCTGTTGCAAAATACATTAACGTTAGTGCCTCTAAACACGTAGCTACTATGAGTTCTACATACATTATATTCGCACGGGTTGTTATTGCTTGTGTTTTCAGACCTGTTTTATTGCGAGAGAAACGTTTATTTATCGTCGAGGGTTATTGTTCATTATGGCATAAGATGCGTGTTGATCGTTTAGCTTTTACAGTAACTTACCCTTTAAATATTTGATTTTTAATATTTAGATCCATAACTTTATAATTGTGTCGATTATATGGGAATAGTTTTATATGAAGATTTGTAACTTTTTTTTAAAAATCTTAATGTGTATTGTGTAATATTCTACATTTTTAAGTTTTACATTTGTGATATAAACTAACGTATTGTATCCCTTCTACTGTAAAGTGCTTTTTTTAAATTAGTTTTTGATTGGTCAACAGGTCCCTGATTTGAAAGTGAAAAAAGCTGTAGTTGATTTAAAGAACATACTCAAATGAGAGACATAAATTAGAAGTCAACATATTTCACTGAACTCTTGAGAGATTAACTATTGCTGTCTGTGTTTACTCGGATGTCATATCTAATATATTCCCAGCATGGGTTGATCTAGTGACCGATGCCTTTTAAATACTGCTGCTTTCTTTCTTCAGATCTAATTCAGGATGTTTCACACCTGTGGTCCCAATGAGGCGATGGTGGTCTCAGGTATGCTGCATCTGTTGCTCTTTATTACAGAGTTATGTCAGTTATGTATATAAATAAACATAATTAAAATCCTCCTTCGAGGTTACATATGATAAGAGAGAACTTAAAATTAAAGCAGCTGTTGATTGAACTGGATAGCTTGTAACTAATGATTGACACCCATGAGACTTTTACAAGGAGCCGTGAAGTTCTGTAATGATCATAAAGATCAGTGCTATTGTGCAAACTACATTCTTTTCTTAAACAATGTCCAATGCAGAACTGGTTTCAGCTGCTCATGTGACTTTCATTCACAGGTCAAAACAGACACAAAGTTCACTGTAATGGTTGTGATTTTTTGTGTAGATAAATGGCAGTGGTTACACATTAAGATTACTTTAATGAATAAAAATAGCCCAGCAGGCTCACATTTACTACAACAAGGTTAATGCAGTCAAACCACACTGTACAGAGGGGCAGAAAATAAGTCACCAGCTCCATTATGTCTCTGTGGCCCTCGTTCTCTCTGTAAACAGTCGACATGCTGCTGGCAGGAAGTGTCAAGTCAAGTCAAGTCACCTTTATTTATATAGCGCTTTTAACTCCTGCACGGGATTGACCTTGCTGTTTAAATGGAGAAACATTTTGTGCTGTAATTTATGAAATGTGTGTGGGTGGATTTCCAGCAATGTAATGCTATGATGACATACGTTTTTCTCTGCTGTTAAACTAGAAGTGTGTCCTGATAGTAAAAGTGAATCATTTGTACAGTGGTTGCCAGTTTTAGTAATAGGAATTGTCATTTTTTTTATTTTTAAATGTTGTAAAAGTAGTAAAAGTAAAACGTTTCTTATTGCATTTATTTGATCAAAAATACAGTAAGTCATATTGCAAAATATTTTTACAATTTAAAATAACGGTTTTCTACTTTTATATGTTGTAAAAACTTAATTTATTCCTGTGATGGCACAGCTGAATTTTCAGCAGTCGTCACGTCAGTCTTCTGTCACATGATCCTAAAATGCTGATGTGCTACTTACTATTTTTGTGGAAACTGATATATATTTTTTTTTCAGGATTATTTGATGAATAGGAATTGCAAAAGAACAGAATATATTTGACATCATTCTTTTTGTATTATTGCTGACTAAATGTATTAATTTCTTTTTTTTTTAATTCTTACGGACTCCAAACATTTTTTTAAATAAATATAAAATAAATAAAATAAATATAAAACAAAAAATATAGTTTCATGACCAGTAATGTTATATAAATATTGTTATGTTATATAAATATTTATTAAGTATATTGTGCATCTATATATTTCTATTGGTAGATATTGGTTATTTAATCATGCTTTCCCCCTATTTTTACCTTTAGATGATGATCACATAATTTTTAATAACACTTTATTTAATTATAATGATTTAATTGTCTAATAATTTATTTAGACAAAATAGTATTGAACTGTATTATTGACCATTTATCATTTACCAGCCATAACATAAAAATAATGATCAATTTATCTGTATCTGTCAGAATTTTAATATAAGTGGTCTGTATTATTGTTACATATCCACCGTTACGGTGTTATTAAATTACTGATACTATAAGATTTTTCATTTTGGATATACCTCCCACCACCCCTAGCTAGTTAATTGCCACTAAGTATGTTTTCAATCAAGTCTTGACACTTTATACCAGCAAACAAAATCTCTTTATGTTGTCTCTTTTAGGATGTGGCCGCTCTCCTCCTCTATTGATTGCTGGTGGAAGAGTGTTTGTTTTTCCCTGCATTCAGCAAATCCAGCGGTATGTATTGAATTACAATAGAAGACGGATTCTTAGAACATGTTAATGCAAGAACACACGTGCATAGAAACCATTCTGTTTAACCAGATGCTGCAGTGCGAGTCACTAATTTAATTCCAGAAAAGACTGGGAGTCTCGGGCCTCATGAATGATGGGAATAAGAACAAGAGGCGGCCCTGTGTGCAATAGAGACTCCACTTGTGTTTACATTCCTCTCCACGTATATTAATGAATCACTCAGTCCTCAAAGAATACTTTCTTCACTGCAGTAGTTTGTAGATTACTGTAGATGAATTTGCCTTAGCTCCACAAAGTCGGTTGATGATTTGATTACTGCACATCAGCAGTCACATCTGTGAGGTCAAGCTCAGCCATCAATGTGCAGAACTATATGTGGGTGTGGCTTAAGTTTGGGGGCGGGGCTATCTATTTGCCCACATAATGGGAGACAATAAATATGTTTGGTTATGGAAGCTTGTATTAAGGGTAATTGCGATATTTTTTTTTTTTCTTGCAATACTAAGTTTACATCTCATAATTCAGACTTTATTTGTAATTCTGAGAAAAAAGTCACAAAACAGATGTACACTCAATTCTGCGATGAAAAGTCAGAATTATGAGATATAAACTCATTCAGTTGCAAATATCTTTGATTTATTTTTTATTTTGTGGCAGAAAAAAACTGAATTGCGAGATGTAAACTGAGAATTCAGAGCAAAAAGTAGGAATTGGCAGGAAAAAAAACTAAATTGAACTAAAAACTAAAAAGTCAAGATTTTGATTTTTTTCCCTTTTTTTTTTTTTTGTCTTTTTTTTTAAATCCATGGTGGAAACAGGCTTCCATATTCGTGAAACCTGTTTGGGTAATCAATTTTTTTGCAGTTTCATATGAATGGCGTATATATCTGCCTTGGATTTAAAAACGGTTTGTTTGTAAAGAAAAAAAAAAAGCTTTATGACTACTTTCCCTCTCGTTTTTCTTTGCTCCCAGGATATCTCTCAGTACTCTGACTCTGAATGTGAAGAGTGACAAGGTCTACACCAGACATGGAGTACCAATCTCAGTAACAGGCATTGCCCAGGTTAGAGAGAGACACATTTTACACTCATCTGTAGAACATAACATAGTACAGTCTGTAAGCGCTGCTGCTCATGTGTTCTGCAGGTGAAGATCCAGGGTCAGAATAAAGAAATGCTGGCCGCAGCCTGTCAGATGTTCATGGGGAAGTCAGAGGGTGAGATTGCTCAGATTGCCCTAGAGACCCTTGAGGGACATCAGAGAGCCATTATCGCCCACCTGACTGTGGAGGTACTGTCACATGCTAAAAGTTTTGCTGTTTGTATTCTGTATCACTCACAAAGAGATGGAAGAAACAAGCTTTTATAAGAAGATTTTCAAAGAGGACTGGAGGGTTTTAGTGCTGAAATAAACAAGCAACCTTTGCTGTCTGAAACATGTGATGATAACTGTTCTGCTGCTGTTAGCGGATTATTTGTTATTGATTGTACAGTCTCTCTTTCTTTCTCTCTGTAGGAGATCTATCAGGACCGTAAAAAGTTCTCCGAGCAGGTCTTTAAGGTGGCTTCCTCTGACCTGGTCAACATGGGCATCGGTGTGGTCAGCTACACGCTCAAAGATGTGCATGATGATCAGGTGACTTTAGTCATGCACCACACACCCTAAAATACACTACTATTCAAATGCTTGTAGTTATTGTGAGTTTTTTTGTTTTGTTTTGTTTTGTTTTTTGTTTTTGAAAGAAGGCTTTTATGGTCACCAGGAATGCACTCGTTTGACAACAGAATAATAAAACTGTAGTATTGTGAAGTATTATTATTATTATTTAAAAATGTAATTTATTTTTGTGAAGGCAAGGCTGAATTTTCAGCAGCACTGAAGCTCCAGTCTAGTAATGCATAGACAGTTTGAAATAATTAAGATAATACAATAAAATAACACAAAACGAGCTGTTTTGTACAGCTAAAAATAGCTGGACGCGGTTGAGACCGGAAGCTAGACCCATAGAATTAAAAAATGGCCAGGCCTGCTCTTACGAGAAGAAAAAGGTGGATAATCGTAATATGTATATATGTATATCACTCACCCGGACTTCCTTACAGAATTATCTAAGCTCGCTGGGTAAAGCTCGTACTGCTCAGGTGCAAAGAGATGCTCGTATCGGTGAAGCTCAGTTCAAGAGGGATGCCGTCATCAAGGTGAAAATTTGACATATTTCTGTCATCATTGTTGGTTGTATGAACATTGGTGTGATAGATAAAACTATGATAAAACTGTAAATGTCCTTGTTTGTGTATGTAGGAGGCTCATGCCATGCAGGAGAAGATCTCTGCTCAGTATAAGAATGAGATTGAGATGGCTAAAGCCCAGAGAGACTTTGAGCTGAAGAAAGCCGCCTATGACGTTGAGGTCAACACCAAGAAGGCAGAGTCTGAAATGGCCTATCAGCTTCAGGTAGCAAATGATATTCAACTTGGTTTTCAGCTGGTAATATGAGGGTTGCCGGTTAATATTTCTAGGAACTTCAAGAAATCATGTAGAACTAGACAAGTACAACAAAAACGACAATTAAATCACATCTACTGAGATATTTACTCGCCATCATCTGCATTAGGTGGCCAAGACGAAGCAGCGTATCGAGGAGGAGAAGATGCAGGTTCAGGTTGTGGAGCGTACGCAGCAGATCACTCTACAGGAGCAGGAGATCACCCGCAGGGAAAAGGAACTGGAAGCCAAAGTCCAGAAACCAGCCGAGGCCGAGAGATACCGCATTGAGAGGATCGCTGAGGCAGAAAAGTGAGAACTGAGGACTTAAGGGTCCAAAAGTTTTGGCGTTTTGTCTGCTTTAACACACATTTGTGCTTTAGTGGAAGCAAATCTGAAGGATAGAACTTGGTGTGATAATCTCGAAAAGCCATTTAATGTTCTTTCATCTAACAGGCTTCAGCTGATAATGGAGGCAGAAGCTGAGGCAGAGGCCATCAGAGTGAGTTCATGAATCTCTCCACACACTTGTTTTTTGCCGGTGAAAATTAGCATTACTATTCACATTAGATCCCACTCAACATTCAGCTTTTCCTGTCTCTCTTTCAGATGAAGGGAGAAGCTGAGGCCTTTGCAATGGAGGCAAAGGGTCGGGCTGAAGCCGAGCAGATGACCAAAAAAGCAGAAGCTTTTAAGGAGTACAAAGAGGGAGCCATGGTGGACATGCTGCTGGAGAAACTCCCACTGGTTAGTGCATCTAAACTTTTGAAAGTCAATAAATAAGTTCAATGATAAGACCACTCAATAATGGCCTCCACTCCTCTAGATGGCAGAAGAGATCAGCAAGCCACTCTGTGCAGCCCAGAAGGTCACCATGGTGTCCAGCGGTGGGTCAGAAGTGGGCGCAGCTAAGCTGACAGGAGAAGTTCTGGAAATCATGACTCGCCTGCCGAGTGCAGTGGAGAAACTGACTGGAGTCAACATCTCACAGGTGACCACGCTCACGTCAGTGCTGGTATCAGGCTGTAGATCACATGAGCTGCAACGTCTGCATTCCCATGGCTAGTTTCCGCAGTTTGTTTTTGTTGCATCATCATTTGTCTCTTTCACAAGTCACTGTCAATTACCACCTGTCATCAAAATGGAACTAAGAAAAATAAGGTCCAATTCTCACTATTAATAAACCAATAACTACGACTTTTGTCTCAATAAACTACTAATTTGCTGCTTGTTAATAGTAAGGCATTTGCTAAGTTTTTGGGTAGGATTGGGGATGTAGAATATGGTCATGCAGAATATGTGCTTTATAAGTACAAATAAACAGCCAATATGTTAATAATAGGCATGCTAATAAGCAACTAGTTAATAGTGAGTTTTGTTTCCTAAACTAAAGTGTTAGTAAAAAAAAAATATATATATTATATATATATATTAGGGCTGTCAGTTTAACACGGTTAACTTAGTTATGAAAAAATAACGTGATTAAAATATTTTAACACAGTTAACGCACTGGCCCCGCCCCCATGCCTGTACGTCATCTTACATTTCATACAGTTGACTGTTGACAAATATGATGCAGGGCAACCACTCCATAAATGCAGTTATGCCCTAAAATTAAAGATATTGGGGCAAAAAATGCCCGCAGATTTATTTTCTTATTTAGAGTATTATTTAATTGAAAATAATAATAATAATAACATTAAAGGGATAGTTCACCCAAAAAAATTTAAATTCTGTCATCGTTTACTCAAACCTGAATGACTTTCTTTCTTTTGTGGAACATAAAAGAAGGTATTTTGACAGCTGTTTTGGTTACCAATGACTTTCATCGTATGAACAAAAAATACTGAGATGTTTCTCAAATTATCTTCTTTTATGTTCTGTAGTTTATATTAAGCCGTTGTAGCCTAAATGTTTATGCGTAATACATTTTATGTTGAAAAACTACAATTTGTAATGTCTACTTGATACTTTCTCATTTAACACAAAAATAGCTTTAAATCATCTTTTGTGGGTATTTTCACAGTCAAATATATTTTGCGATTAATTGTGATTAATTAGATTAATTCATCGAAACATCATGTAATTAATTAGACTGACAGCCCTAATATATATATATATATATATATATATATATATATACTAGTCTAGTTTAAAATAATAAAGGCATCTTAAAACTTAATGGCCAAATAAAAAGCACATTTAAATCCTTGTGATATTTATTGTTGCAAATTGTAATTGGCAAAATCTTCATAAATTGACTTTCTTGATTAAAAATGGCTGTCTGTGTGAATGCTCCTTAAGATTACATTTGAATACTTTAGAAATACTGTAAAAATACTCTTTTTTTTTTTTTTTTGGCCAGGCTGTTTCATCCCGCATGGGCTAATAGAGTTCATGAAGAAGGAATGTGGTCTGATCAGCTCTGATCGTGGATCTCAGCTCTTCCTGTCTTTGTGCATGCCTGTGTTTGAAATGAACCTGGAACATTGAGGTCCTTTTTGTTTTTGTAATCCACCATTTGTAATATTCAGTTTTTATATTATGTTTTGTGAATTATTGTATAACATTATATGATAATTTTGTAATTTAGGTGAACTACTTTATCTGCTCTAGAGCCTCTGTTGAAGGTGAATATTCAGGGAAGCAGGGCTGGTCTCTAGTTTCTGTATTTCTGTCTGTCAGAGCCACACGCCTGTTGATTCTGGTACAGTTTCTTTCAAAACAAAGTGCATTCAAGTCAAATGCATGTATATTCACCTGAAGTGCATTACTGAAGCAATAGTCCACGTGCATGATGCCTTATGTCTGCAGACACTGAAATGTGACGTTTTATTCTTGCCATTTTAAGGTTTTATCATTTAATGGTCCGTGAAGACTTTTTCCTGTAAACAGTGGCACTAGAGTTTGCAGACACATATTGAAAATGATTTGGAATGTAATACATGTTTTGTTATTGTCTGTGTGCTCAGTAGAGTGATTTATACAGCAAGTTGAAAAGTAAGAGGAGGTGGAAAGTGGGTAAAGAAAAGAAACCCTTTGATTTTTGAAGTTGATGAACAAACAGGAAAAAAGAAGAGAAGGAAACTGGTTGGGTATTGAACAAAGGCTGCAAACATGTCTCTGTGGCCACAGAAACTCCAGCGAAGGCTGTTGGTGGTTTCATTTCTCATATCAACTTATTCTTTTTGTTTTACCATGCTGCTGTGTACGTCACACTAAAATCGACTCAACATTACCTAAGGTAAACCTATGCATCTCCAGTTTATGCCTTCAACGTGCCTCAAAGCTATTTTTTACTTTCTCACTGAATCAACCTGCCCTGATTGTTTCAGCAACAGGAACTGTGATCTGTCATGTGATACTTCCTGGCCTTAATGACTAATTTCGTTCAGAATATTCAATTTGTTTGCCATTAGTTTGTTTTTATTGGTGTAAAGCTTCATTATTGTTTTTAAAGGAACAAACGGACCCAATTTGTGCCTTACTGTATGTTACTGTATGTGAGCGGTGATGTAAACTGAAGATCTATATGACCAGGCTGAGATTTATACATATGTTCTGTTTATTATAAACTATTAGTGTGCGCTGTACTTTATAACTTTTCGATTTATGGCTTTGTGTGAATGCGTGTGTTTGCACAAATGCTGTTTGAGTATGAATGTGACATGACATACTATTTCAAATGAACAAATCGTGTTTGAGCGTAAATGAAAACAAGCACCCCATTTCACTTTATTTGAAAAGGTTACTTTATTAAAACACCTACAAAAATAGACAACAGCACAGGCAATGACACCGACTAACACAGGCAGGGAAGTCTAAAACAGAGACAGACAGACCCGATTAATAACAGATAGCAATATTAATGAAGAAAATTATGTCCCATGAAGTATTTACATTTTTCATTATTTATGAAACATGAATAGCTGAGGACAGAACATGCCCAAAACTATATATATAAAAATACAATAAAGGTTCAGGGCCTCAGTGTACCAAAAAAAGTTAAAGGTCATTCAATAAGCATAATCAGCATGGTTATATAACCATTTGGGAATCACATTCTTCTGTGTATATTACAGTATACATGTTGCTCTCCACCCCCACCTACACACACGGTCTTACTCTTAAATGAGGAAGAGGTCTTTATCTACAGTCTGCAGTATGCAATTGCGTACTGTAGCTTTAAGAGAGTTTCCTGCAAATGTCCTACAGGTTTACATAGTAAATTCAGGACAAATGCTTTGCTTATTTTTCTGTTCATCCAGTTCATTTCTCATTCTGTAGGCAATAACTTTGTCAAACTTATTGGTATAAATGTACATGTCTGTGGCCACTCTGCTTGTTTTTTTCCTCTCTTTCTCTTTCAAATTCTTCCAGGCTCATTTCTGGCAAGTCCAGGCTCATATTCAGACTTTTCAAATAATGCATTGGTAGCCAATTCCATACATCCCATTCAAAAGCATCTTTAAATTCTACACAGAATATACTGATGCCCAAAAGTTCAGGATGTGCATTCAGCTTATTCAAGTCAGTGCACATACTGGCAGGTCATTTCAAAAACCATATGCAATCATTTTTCGTGTCATCAAATAAATCACATTCACACTTAACGCCCGTTCACTCCAAGAACAATAACTATATTGGTGTCTAATAACTTCATATTTATCATAAGCATGTGATGCAATTATTCTGCCGCTTTAAATGCTCAAGCTCTTTAAAGTCAAGTGGATTCTGATTCGGGGGGGGGGGGATTATTCTGAAAGTGATTACAATGATATTGTTCCTTTGTGTCATTATCATTGTGGTTGTAGTGTGGACTTCTTATTGTTAGAATTCGAATAATTAAAGCTTTATAGTTATCATCCTTAGTGAGAATGGGCCTTAATTAAAGAATATCATTGGAATTACGTTCAGAATATTTTGTTTTTCTAGCTGATGGATGCTAAAACATTGACAGCCAATCAGAATCCTCGAGTATTTATAGTGGACGACAATATAACTGCAGCAAGTGCTTATAATAAACAAAACATGATCGTCTATTGGTGTGAATGCTAGATAATTATCGTTATGGTCATTTTTCTTGGTGTGAACAGGCCTTTGTAGTCAATGAAGGATGGAGTGACTAAATGTTGAGATAACTGAGGAAAGGCCCACTCGAACCAAGAATGAAAGAGATACCAACACACGATAATGCTCTGTTTATTACAAGCACAGGCTGCAGTTTAAATGCTTAAGCCCCTTAAAGTCAGATTTTGATTGGCTTTCTGCATTCTGAAAGCGATTCCCACCATATTGTTTCTCTGTTGATATCATTATAGCGGTGGAGTGGGTTTCCTTGTTCTTACAGAATTATAACAATTATTAAAAATGTATAATTGTAGTTTTTGTCCATGAAAACGCCCCACTCAGTGTTGAATGTTTAACGAGCATTTCTTAATGATGAATTACCCTCCACCACAGAAAAGACATGAAAAACTGCCTGATACAGCCTCAGATTGTCTACATGACTACGAATGCTAGCAAAGTTAGACTGAATTTACTGATTCAAATGTTATTCACTATTTTCACTTAATATGCACTATTTCTGTATTTCTGCTATTGTATGTTTTAATACGCATATCTGTCAAATGTTTCCCTAAATGGACAGTTTATAGAGCCTTGTGCTTTTGTCATTTAGCTATGAAACCCTCCACCAGTTTACATGATTATGTTTCGAGATCTATTCAGTGTCTAGGGAATGAAGAGACAGTTTTGATACAGGTTAGAGGACCAGGATTTAAGGTTCAGATGCCAAGCAACATTTTATCCCAAAACCAATCCCACATTATTCCCGTTAGACCATCGTCAGCGCTTAGTCGTCATTACTGGACCTCACAGAACACAAAAGACTTCAGTTTTACAGCAGGAAACATTTACAGAGAGGTTTCATTCTTAGGTTCACCGAGAAAAAATCAGGCAGAATAATGTTTCAGAGAAAAAAAAAAGAAAAAAGAACCATTTCTGTGGTGCATTCTGGGAGATTTGTGTCTCTGTGAAACTAAATACTGTGGAATAGTGATGTGATAAGTATTGATAGAGGGGGAACAGCGAGTCTAAAATGATTTGGGGATAAAATGTTGCTTGAAGAGTTCAGGATTTCAGGATAAGGGGTGAGAAGTGGGTCATTTAGGGGCACCGAACCTGCGGCTTTTATTTGCCCCAACCCACCCATCAAAAAAGACACGAATTTACATAAGAGTGCTTAGCCGTGTCTGCTGAAAAACACACCACCAGCCTGTGGTCCACACACACTTTCTTACGTTCTTCCGCTTTTCATCTCTCTGTCACTTTCTAAACCATGTTCATGGCGTCTTCGGTGAGGAAGGAGTGAATGTACGCAAAGGAAGGCCGTAGTTTACAGTCTCTGTTCCAGCAGCTAAGCATCAGCTCATACAAACCCTGTGGGCACACAGCCGGGCGAGACAGGTACACCTGATCAAGAGAGAGAGAGTGAGTGAGACTGTGTCAATGTTTTTCTTATGAGGGTTAATAAGTGTCAGCAAACACGCATACCTGTCTGCCCTGGTCTCTGAAAAACTCCCCTGCGTTGTCAATGACCTGTTCATCGGTCATGTGACTGTACGGCTGCTCCTGACACACACTCAGCATCTCCCATAGCGTCACGCCGAATGCAGCTAATCAATAAAAAAAAGTTTGTCACTAATATTCCTGTGTATTTTCATTTATTAGAGCAAACATAGTTCTCACCATGAGGATGCACTCCCATGCCATCCAGCGAATAGGCAGCACAGCTCGTCCCTGTATCCTGTAGTAATCGCCAGCATAGAGGTTCCTGCTCATGCCAAAATCAGCTATCTTTATCTGGCGCTCTCCGCCGCGGTCCTCCCCCTCACCCCTCTCTCCACCCACCAAGCAGTTCCGCGTGGCCAGGTCTCGGTGCACAAAGTTCAGAGACGACAAGAACTTCATTCCTGATGCGATCTGACTCGCCATGGAGATCAAAGCTGGGTAGCTGAGACAGAGAAAGACATTTAACCTTTTACATAATATCATTACTTTATACTGTCATTGTACTGCTCTGTGTGTTTGTGTACCTGATGGTTGGTGTATTATGTGAAGGGCCGGTCTTGTCCAGCAACACTCTATGGGAGAGGTACTGATTGAGGTCGCCGCTCTCCATGTACTCTGTGACCATACACAATGGGTCGCTGCTTACACACACACCCAGCAGGCGGATTATGTTCGGATCCTTCAGGCGAGATAAAATCTTCACCTCCTTCAGAAAATCATTCCTGTTGAAAGAAGAGCATGAAAAGAATGAGAGAGTAACAAGAGAAGGGGAAAGGACAGAACATTAAAGGGAAAGTTCACCCAAAAATGAACATTTTTGTCATCATTTACTCACCCTCATGTTGTTCCAAACCTGTATAAGTTTTTTCCTTATGTTGAACACAATAGACAATATTTTGAAGAATTCTGAAGAACCAACCAGTTGTTGGCCCCACTGACTTCCACAGTAGGGAAAGAAACACTATAGAAGTCAATGGGACCATCAACTGTTTGATTTTCAGCATTCTTCAAAATATCTTATTTTATGTTTAACATAAGAAAGAAACTCATACAGGTTTGGAACGACATGAGGGTAAAATGATGACAATTTAATTTTTTGGGTGAACTATCCCTTTAGGATATGAAGTGTATGAAGAATTTGAGTTTACTACAGTTTTATAAAATACACAACAGGTATTGTTTTACAGGTGACAAGCTTTTCCAACCAAATCTTAAAATTCTTTACAAAACATATGCAACAATAAGGTAATACACCCTCGTATGTCCCTCTACACCCAAAGTGTATTAATATATCAGGGTTTTTTTTATTTACACAAATTAACTTTTTAATTGCTAAAATGGAAGTTCATTGAGGCATTCAAAATTGCATTACAAATATTTTTAAAAAGTGATAAAAATTAAAAATAAAAACGAAATGAATACAGATTAATAAATTATTCTTCTTTTCATTCATTCATTCATTCATACCAAATCAAAGTTAAGTAAAAAATGTTTGTCATGTTAAAACATGACTTGCATTGTTAAGGTCAGATGAAGTAACATTTAAAAAACATCACAATATTTATGACATATTTATTAAACTATAATAATAATATATTTTTTCAATAATAATTCAGTTACCTGGCATTTTTAGAGGCATCTGGCCTTAAAATCTTCACAGCCACCAGCAGAGGGCGCCCTTTCCTGACATTAAATGGGAACTCAAGGTTTGCGAGGTCCTGAGGGTTTTCAATCTCACACAGATGAACCTGTAAGGAAACATACAATAAATAGCTTGTTATACAGGTGCATCTCAGTAAATTAGAATGTCGTGGAAAAGTTCATTTATTTCAGTAATTCAACTCAAATTGTGAAACTCGTGTATTAAATAAATTCAATGCACACAGACTGAAGTAGTTTAAGTCTTTGGTTCTTTTAATTGTGATGATTTTGGCTCACATTTAACAAAAACCCACCAATTCACTATCTAAACAAATTAGAATACTTCATAAGACCAATAAAAAAAAAAAATTAGTGAATTGTTGGCCTTCTGGAAAGCATGTTCATTTACTGTACATGTACTCAATACTTAGTAGGGGCTCCTTTTGCTTTAATTACTGCCCCAATTCGGCGTGGCATGGAGGTGATCAGTTGTGTCTCTTGTTTCTCATTTTCCTCTTCAAAGACTTAAACTACTTCAGTCTGTGTGCATTGAATTTATTTAATACACGAGTTTCACAATTTGAGTTGAATTACTGAAATAAATGAACTTTTCCACGACATTCTAATTTATTGAGATGCACCTGTACAGGAAACAATATTATTTACAAAGACTGCTTTTGGCCACAAATTAAGGTTTTTGGAATAAAGATTTCCTTAAAGCAAATAAAGGTGTTTTTATTTGTAATTTGTAATATTTGTAATACTAAATTATACCTCTCCAAATTGTCCTTCTCCCAGCTTTTCTTTGAATATAAGTCGTTCCCGTGGCAACTCGGGCAGTAGTGGACAATCAGTGGGCGTGGCTGAGAGGGCGGGGACTGCATATGTATTGTTACCACTAACACCTTGCAGACTGATGATGTCAGCTTCTGCATAATGAGGAACGCTTCCCCCGACTCCGGAAGCTTCTCCATAATGAGCTGCTGACAGGCCAGGAGGCGGAGCTCCGGGGTAAGGAGGCGGTCCCTCCTGAATTGGTAGGCCTTTATCAACCATATCAATAGCACATGCTGAGAGGAAAAAACGGTACAGAAGAAAAACTTAGAATAGAGAGCTATTCAGCCGTATGACATAATACTAATGAGTAATTATGAACCACACACATGCACTTAAACACTCACATACACTGGAGAAGACACATTATGTACACGCATACTGTGAAAACACTAACATACTCCTGTGGGCTCATATGGTACCTCATCCCTGACAAAATTATAAACTACCATTTTGGGTTTTTTTGGCCCTGTAGACTTAGAAAACAAACTCTTACTTTTGCTCTCACTAATTTGTCCACTGACAATATGAAACGGTGGACATACTACGGTTTAAAAGTTTGGGGTCAGTAAGATTTTCTTTTGAAAGAAATTATTACTTCTGGTTCAGCAAGCACAAACATTTGATCAAAAGTGGGGGAAAAAATCTGTCAAATAAATGCTGTTCTTTAGAATATCCTGTTCATCAAACAATCTAGTTGCCACATGTATATTAAAGGGATAGTTCACCCAAAAATGAAAATTTGCTCTTAATTTACTCACCCTCAGGCCATCCAAGATAGGTGACTTTTTTCTAGTAAATCTTCTTTACTGTTCTACTGAATTAAAAACAAAATTACATATTGGACGGCCTAAGGGTGAGTAAATTTCACATTTATTTTTTGGGCGAACAATCTCTTTAAGCAGCACAACTGTTTCAGTGTTGTTAATAAAAATGCAGCTTGAGAACCAAATCAGCATATTAGAATGATTTTAGCTTTGCCATGACAGGAATAAATCACATTTAAAATGTAGTTATTTTAGATTGTAATAATGTTGCATAATATTTCTGTTTTTACTGTATTTTTTATCAAATAACTGTAGCCTCGATGAGCATTAGAGAAGTTAAATTATGGATTGTGTTTAATACCATTTTGTGGTGGAAATGATTCGACCCTTTAAAAAAAATTAGTCAACAATATCTAAATAGGCTTAATATTTTCCCAATTTTTTTAATCATAAAAGATAATTTAATACAATTGCAGTTTTATTAGAAATTAGACAAAAATTATTTTGTCATTTTGTTTTCTTCACACATCACCTTAAGCATTCCACTGACTCTGCCTCCTTGGTAAACAAGTACATTAAATCTTAATAAATGTTATTATTTGCAAAAATGTTTTTGAAAAGTTGAGGATTTTGTTTTACTGAATAATTAATGTTTATTTCATTCTGTTAGATCATCTTAGTTTTAAACATGCTGATTCATATTTTTGTGGTGGATTTTCATATTGCAATACTGAAAGTTTACGTCTGGAACAAAAGTAAACCACTACAAGCTTCCAAGACAATTTTAAATGTCCTTCAAATAACAAATTAGTTTTAATAAAAATCAACCCCAGAGACAGAAAAGTCCCAGAAACACACTTAAAAACACTTATTGAATGTTTAATGTCCTCTGTGCTGTTCTGGGGCCATTATATCACTCTAACCGTTACCTTTAGGACTTCAGGGGACTTTAACTGCTCCCTGGGGAGGACACCACCCCTTGCCCCTTTCTTAGGGCAAAATGAACCCCCTCTCTCTTACCCTGGGACAGGTTTTGGGGCTTTTCTTGCTGGCTGTGGCAGTTTGTCAGCCTGTTGGGGCCATGTGTCAGGTCAGACAGGAGGAGATGATATGCTGGGTTGTTTAACAGCAGTGCTAGGAGGACACACACACACAAATCCCACGGACACACGAGTCCACGAAGGGCACGACAGTGTGAGCGGTCACCACACGACAAAAAACGACACGAAACGGCACAACCACAACCAAACCACAGCACAGCACAACACGCGACGACACAACAAAACAAAACACAAACAACAGGGCCGTTAAGGGGTGAAAGAGCAAACCAGTTACATGTGAGATGCACAAACACAGCAGGCAGTGTTATCACTGATAATGACGCAGGCTGTTAATCATCTTTTCATTGGTCAGTCCATTATAGGACATTCGTTTATGTTAATGTACGAAAAGAATCACACAATGATTAAAAAAAATGAAGTATCATGAAAGCAACTATGGAAGGAAAAACAGGAACATTTGAGTACAAGTGGGGTATGAGTGAAATAAAATCTCCCTCCCTCCTCTCTCTGTCAGATAGGACAGTGGCTCTTTGTGTTTGGGTTGTGGAGTGTCCTAAAGTACTTTTTCTGATGTCGTTTTGGCAGTGCTGTTCATTCTCCGTGGTGACCCGGGTTCCTGTGCGCTTACTGAGTGAGGTATGTGAATGCTGAGTGTACGTGTGTGTCACCTGTGCTATCACGTTGCCCTCGGGGCCGCAGTATAGTGCTGGGCTCCTGGTATTCTCCCTCGCGGTCCCGGTCGTCGGGGAAGGTGTGTATGCGCTGGTAGCGGCTGGAGTATGTGTGGGTGTTAGTGTTGTTGATCACCACGTTGTCCGATGGAACCGAAAGATGAACCCGCAACTCGTCGCTGGAGAGGCTGCCTTGGGCCTGGATATAGGAAGACAAAATTAAAGAGCCATGAAATCAAATTTGGAGTTTTGTGGCATTTTGTCCATGCCTGTTAGCCATCTGTATGCTAGTATACTCCTAAAATGCTATAACAGATAAATGCAAATAAAATGCAGTTTTCTATTCTGAGAAAATTAATCAAACAGATCAACTACAAAAATATTTTGTTTTCATACAACAGTCTAAAAACAGGCCTGGCCGATATTAAGCATTTTCGTGGTTATCGGTATTGGTCATTTTCAAAACCGATTTGCCTATAAAATAATTTAAATGCAACATTTTTGTCAGAGCCCTTGTTATTCTTAATTTTGATACTCATTTTCATTTTTACACCAGACATATAATATCGGTTCAAAATATAGGTTATCGGTCTACTTCAGGGGTGGCGAACGTCGGTCCTGGAGAGCCGCAGCCCTGCAGAGTTTTGCTTCAACCCTAATCAAACACCTGAACGAACTAATCAAGGTCTGAATGGTTACTAGGAAGCTACAGGCAGGTGAGTTTTAATTGGGGTTGGAGCTGAACTCTGCAGGGCTGCGGCTCTCCAGGACCGGAGTTTGCCACCCCTGGTCTACTTGATCTGTAATAATCAGCATCGTCCCTAAAAAACACATATCGGTCAACCCCTAAACACAGGAGTGGCATTCCTGAATGAATCAGGATGAACCTTAATGTTTTTGAATTAATATGTTGACTGAATAATTTAATGACTCACTCATAAAGATTTTACTTGATTTGGTGATAATTAATCAGTGTTTTTGAATAAATCACCTCAGTGAATGATTCAATTACTTCCTAATAAAGACAAATCACTCATTTTATTTCTACATGAATCAGTGCTTTTGAACGAATCAGTAGAACAAATGAGTTAATGACTCTCACAAAGACAATGATACAAACACTGAAAAGTCCCAGTGCTATTAAACTGTATAAAAACACTGTAAGGAAAAACACCTTGCCAAGTAGTTTCTTCCAGTACTGCCTCCAAAGTATGACAGCTATGACAGCCAATAGGAGCAGGATAATTCCAACCAGGCAGCCAATCAGGATGGCCGTGTTGCTGCTGTCATCTTTGGCCATAGGTAAGCCCGCCCTCAGAGTGACAGCAGGAAACTCTGTTAAAACCAAACACAACAGTTTTATGATTAAGTGTGTGTTAGTGTAATGCTAGTCTGACATTACAAATGATTACAAACACTATAAATGAGGCATTTAAAGACCTACAGAGTGTTTAGAGAGTAAAACCAAAGCTTATCTGTCCATTAAAGCCACCTTCTTATCTTAGTGCTGGGTGGGGCAGTAATAAGTAAATGCCTTCATGGTCACTGACACACTTTGTGTGATTTGACTTGCTTTCTTATACACTGTGTGTGTGTGTTCTTATGTTGGTAAGTCCAGCATAAGTAAGTCCCCAAAAACTCCCCAATTGTTTTTGGGGACTGTAATAAGCTTTGAAGGGAGTAAATGAGCTGTGAGAGTGGGCACAGTCCTAAAGTTGAGGGAACTGAAGTTAAATCAAAGAGGGACAAGAGCAAGGACAGCTGGAGCAATTCCACAAAGATACTTTATGAGTTTGGCTATATGAAACACTCAAAACAATAGAGCATTGTTAAAGTCAAGGGGGGAAAAAAAACATCCGAATCATGCAAAAAAAATTCTCTCCAGGCTTCAAGATTGAAACGCATGCACGCACATACACACACAACAACCAACCACATTCTCAGGGGATTTTATGAGGGCAGGGTTTTCAACTGTAAAGAAGTTTAGAGGGAAGAATCATAAAAGGCCTCTGTACTGGTAAACATGCCATAAAAATCTAAGACGTAAGAACAAGTATTGAAGACGGTTCTCTTTTCTTCCCCTTGTCTTTCTCTCTTTCTCTCTCTCTCACCTGTTGGTATGCTGCTGGGCAGCAGTGAAGTAATGGTCATGAGGAGGTCTGGAAAAATGAGGGTGTACAAGTCAGAAGAGGGAGAATTAGAGAGATAGGGGTGAATGACATGGGAGTGCTGAAAGATGAGGGAGGGCAGACTGTGAGGATGGGATGAAGCTAGGCCTTTTAAGTTTGTAAGGATGCATTTTGTCAATAATTCTCCAAATAAACCACATAAATAGGGTTGGAAATCAAGAAATGGTTCCATCAGAAAAAATGAAACAAGTAAAATTTTATTTATAGATTTTTACATATTTAGTATCCTTGGTTCAGATTTTTTTTAAATAAAGAGTATTGTTGTAATTAAGGGTAGTTTTATAAGTAGGCTTTTATTATTATTCATATATATTTACACACAATATATTATATATTACATATATTAAAATAAGTAGGTTTGTTTTTGGCTTGTACACAGCAAAATACATTCTACAAAAACAATACAATACAAAACAATACTTCACACACACATCCATATATAATAAGTGTGTGCTTATATGTGAAGTGGTATCGTACTTTTACTAAGTATTCTAAAACAATTATCGGAATGGGAAACATCCAAAAATACTAAAAGTATCATGAAAAGAAACATTACGGAACCAAAATCATTAAAATCTTTGCGATTCCATTCCAATACCATAACAATCAGCACTAATGCAACAATGGCAGGGCAGTGCATTGCATACACACTATGTGGAGGGGTTGTCATGCGTCCGACTCACCGGTGGGGCTGCTGGTTCCGTTTGCGGGGCTGGGGGTTGGAGGAGAAGTAGCATTGAGAGGACGAGTGCTGGAGGAAGGCAGAGGAGAAAGGATGGATCCATCCTCAAATGGCACTGGAGACAAGACAGAGAAAAGATAACGGAGAAAAGAAGGAATTAGATAAGCAGGCTTTATCTCGGATACAGCATGAATATTGATCATTTTGGCTCTTTGCCTTATCTACAGACCCATCAAATACCGGTCTCAAAGTGAATGCGACACAAAGTCTCACTTTTTCTCCAAATTACTGTTGTCAGCTGTAAGTATCCATGCAAGCCACATTGATTTGCTCATATTTTGGTTGATATTGACCAACCAATCAGAACCCAAAGTCACACACTCTGAAGAGTTATTTAGTTGACAGTACTTTGTTACTTCATTTGGATAATTTAGCTATATTTCATTAAAGAAATCCATAAGGATGAGCGCAAAACATTCAGAGAGAAGTCAAGATTTTCTTTGGAATGATGTGGGAATATTTGCTTTGTGGCAAAGGATCATATTATTCATTCCTTTCCTTCAAGAAAATACATCTTTAACCAGTCTAAGCTGTTTTTGTTGGCCTCTCTTCAACTGGTAAGGCTGGAAGGCCAGCTTGCCAACTAGCATGCATACACCAGCTTGACAACACTGGGAAACCAACTAAACCATTTCAGACCACAAAATTAGGCTGGTTTAAGATGATTTAGCAGGGTTTTTACACAACTCTCTAATAAAAACTCAACCAGCTCAACCATCAAACTGCATAACAGGAAAAAATCATACAAAGCTGAGCAAAGCACTCTTTCTTCTCACTTTGTTCTCAAATCAAACAGCTATGTAATAAGTCCGATACATAATAAATTGCTACTATATACTTGAAAGTGGCTGCAGAACTGTAATGCTAATGAGCCAGAGTACTTTGCTGTTAGAGGTCAGGTGTGTGGGTGTTCATACTCGAGTAGAAGCTTATCTCGCTGATGAGGAGCCAGTGGTCACTGAAAGAAAAACGGCAGCGGAGAATTTGCGCGGGTCGTCCTCCGAGTGGCAGTGAGATGGTGCGGGACGAAGGGTCGTGTAGGTCAGACAGCGGCACTTGAAGACTGAGCGCAGGCTCCGCCCACGGGCTCAACAGACTGGCCTTAAACTCACACACCACTTCGTTGAACACCCGCACATGCTGAGTGTGTCTGTGATTACTGTGCACCTGAAACACAGACATTTAAAAACAAAAGCTGCAATCAGACACATCAAGACTGCAGGGAACAAAAATAAGAAGCAGTGGAAACAATGGAGAAATAAACAGAAGTTATTACTACACAAATGAAGAAAAAGAAAGGAAACAGGGAGCGAATGAGAGGTGGAGGGCAAGAACATATATAATGTGACAGGTTAGACATTAATGGTGTTGTTAGGTCAACGTGTAACTGCGCATGTGTGCAAACGCTTACTGATACATAAAACAAAACAAACTGCTACAACAGTGCTGGAGGTTAATGCGTAGCCAAAGCTATCATGGTGACACCTCATAAGTCTCTCTCTCTCACACACATATACGCCTTGGTGGGCTGCCCTGTAAAAATGATTTTGTAAACAAAATAAAGATCGTTCGAGTATGTTCTACAAGAAAATACCATTTTCAGTCTTTCTACTTAAAAATCTATTATTTGTGAAATTTTCTAGCAGTTTCTGAGTGAGAACCGTTTTAAAGTAAATCCAACAATGATTTATTCTCAGTGTGTGGCAAACTTTGCACTGGAGTTCCTGAAGCAATGGGGGGCTGATTTGTAGAGGAAAAGTGCCGGTGAGGCTGGCGGTATTCCGAAACTGCAAGAATACAGCTGGAAATACTTTAAAAACAAGGGTCTGTGAGAGTGAGCACAGGGAGGCGACATAAATCATCTCGCAAAGGCACGTGAACAAGCGCTTGTTGTTATGGTAAATGTTTTAATTTTAATTTCTTAGTATCTTTTAGGAATCTGCTGCAAGACTTGCAGGAAGCAAGTATTAGAGGAAGTGTTCAAAACAGTGGGAAGCTGCAGGAAAAACAGGGCGACATGGGAGCATGATGGCGTTTGTGAATTGTGTTATGCCAGAGAGAAATTAATGAAGAGAATGCTCTCTTGAGACCGGAAAAAGCCAGAAGTGGTACAAACAAATTCGCATTCCTGGTCAGAAAGACCCTTAAAAATGACAATGCACTCACACAAACACACATATATGCAAATAACAAACTAAAGAAATAATTATGGCGCCACAAATTGGATACAAAACACTCGGATGCCTCTCAGAATCACACACGGCCACAAATGCAAAGCCACAGGCAGAAAGACGAACAAAAACAAATCAAATGTTCATTAAAGGGTTGAAGGATAATGACAGACTCCTGAGGGCAGATTTACTGAGGCAGAGCTTTATTACTGCCCTACTAACTGACTGAGATTAATTCTGCGATAGTGCTTTCCGTCTGGCATAGTGGAAAGTTGAAGATGAACAGCAGATCATTTACTCACCCTCATGTCGTTCCAAACCTGTATGACTTTAGCTTTTTTTTCATCTGCAGAACACAAAAGAACATATTTCGAAAATATATTTTTTATGTTAATGGAATTCAATGTTATTTTGGACCCCAATGACTTTCATTGTATGGACAAAACCTGTTATTTTGTGTTCCGCAGAAGAAAGAGATGAAGATGAGTAAATGACAGAATGTTCAGTTTTTGGGTGAACTATCCCTTAATGTCACTCTCTCGTGAACGCACGTACGTCAGTTAGCGGAAAGCTAGAGATTACGCTTTATAAAGTTTTTATATTTATAAAGTCTATATTTTTTGGTTCTCGAAAAAAGGCAGTCCGGTACTAAAATCGCACCCAGTTCCGGCGGTGCGAAAACGCCAAAAAGTGGGTAGTTCCACAATTAGTTCTGGTACTATGAAAAGGTTCCCGTGGTGCGAAAGGCCCTATTATAAAGCTTGGAAGAGCCAGGACATTTTTAAGATAACTCTGACTGTATTCATCTCAAAGAAGAAAGGCATATACACCTAGGTTGGCTTGAGGGTGAGTAAATAATGGGGCAATTTTTATTTGTGGGTGAACTATCCCTTTAAGTGTCCAAACATATTTTGGGCTGCTTGTACACATACTGACCTGCATGGTGTGAAAGACCCGTGTTTTCTCGAAGTGAAACTCAATGTCAACAGTGGGCTGGCCCAAGGTTTCTCGATTCCAGCCGACGTAATCATATCCTGGCCACACTCTCAGCTCTTTACTCTCCATGAAATCATTCCCACCTAAAACACCATCACACAACTGGCCCAATCCTCCGAAGATCACCCTACGGAGAAGAGAGAGACATAAGTCATTAGGCATGTGCACACACATACACACAGATGCATGTACTCACATACATGTTGGAATTTCCCATGCATACCCACATCTGGCTAGTGTCAAACGTTAACTTAGCTATTGCAAACAGTTCTGCTCCATTAAAACACATCTGGGAATGTTTCTACACAATATTCGTCAACCCCACCTGACATATACACATACATACATGAGAAAGGGCTCTGGACTTTAACATACATCACAGAAAATTAAGCCTGACAGGAGCAGGTGAGATTTGAGAAGTTTACCTCAGCAAGTTCTCAACTGCTTGTTTCTGACACACAGCATGAACCTATGGTTGTGATCCAAGAAATGGTTGTTTTTCTTTCTAGTATTTTTTTTAATATATTTAAAATCAAGTGTTTTGTTCCATCATTGGTTCTAGAATGTGCATTCTTCTACAGTTCTAAAAGACTTTGCAAGTATGATTCCAAATGTACTCTGAGCAAGTTCTTTTTAGCAAATCAAAAACATACAAACGAATGACTCTTATGAGTCAATTAAGTGAATCAAACACATCCAGCTTATGACCCATTTGATTTGAGAAAGTTATTGCAAAAAAATATATTTTTATTTATTTACTTGTTTATTTTTAATGCAATTATTCCGTTATGACAGTATTCATTTATTTCTTTATGCCATTAATCATTTATTTATTTAGTCCAAGGGAATCTTATAATCCCCATCCCTACTTCAACCTACTTGTTTGTTGAGAGACAAGAAGTTGATGATTAAAAATTATATTTGATGGTTTCTACGTGATTTTAGTTACTAACTTCATAGCATACATGTACAATTTTTATGCAGATATGAAACACTTGCAGGAAGTATGAAATTACATTCTTAAAAATATGAAAAGAAACAAAGTTGAGTGTGTGTACATTACCCTGCCTCTTTACTGCCATCATAGATGGAGTCATTAAGGTAGACAGGAGTGTCTGACAGGTCCATCACATGACCCACAGGAGCGGTGTATGCCTTTAGTCCGTCTAACAGAGAAGCAGCACATCACTCAAAGGTAATCATCATTCCATTGCAAAATGTGCCTGGTGTGAATGTAATGGTGTGTGTGACCAGGATGATGGATTGCTTGTCGTGTGTTGGACTCACCCTTCCAAACACAACCGTAGAGTTCAACTCTTAGACACACGCTCATCACGCGGTCCGCCAGCGGGTAGAAGCGCACCATGCGCGCTATGATGGGCGGACCCAGGTCCTTCAGGACCACATCATATGTGTTCTCGTTCCCTGACACCACCTGAGCCAAAAACAACACAGAATAACTGTAAAATATCTAGGATCCAAATTCTGCTAACAAAACTTGATTATTAAGGTTCAAAGGGGGGGTTACAAACCTCCTGTCCCCAGCGGTCCTTCCACGTTATCCAGTGTCGTCCATCACGAGAGTAATGCAGCCGGTAACTGCGTGCAAACTCCCGCCCGAGCCCGTCTGCATGGCGACCCTGTGTGCCCACCAGAGACAGAAAATGAAGCTTGCGCAGATCCACCTGCAGGTACTCTGAGCCGCTGGGAAACACTGGACCAGCTGGACACCACGCCCCGTCCCCCTCTCCAGTACTCAACCTAGGACAGGACACAAACATAAGCATTATGTACATGCTCAACTATATATACACAATTAAAATGGTACAATTAATTATCCTGAAGATAACACCACAATGCAAAAATTCTCAAACAACTCTCATATAAAACAAAAACAAAGCAAAACACCACAAAACTAAAACACAACAACACAAAGAGCAAAATACAACACAACAAAACCTAAACAAACAAAACAAAAACACAATACAAAAAGCAAAATACAAAAAAAAAAAAAAAACACCACACAAGCAAAATATAACACAAAACAAACCAAAACAAACAAAGAACAAAACACCACACACAAAAAAAACACAAAACAAAAACACTACAACACAAAACAAAGTAAAATACAACACCACACAACAAACCAAAACAAACAAACAAGCAAAAGAAACAAACAAAAAAACTTTTTAAAATAAAATTAAATAAAAATCAATTTGGAATTTCCTTGTACAAAAAAAAAAAACCTACAGGCTAATGAGGTGATATGTGAGAGGTGAGGTCTGTGTATAAACACCATTACCCGGTTACGCTTTCTCGCATGCCTCTAACACATACACACAACCATCTGTACGACATTTAGGCCATTTCCTCTTTTAAACTTCCTAACACACTTCACTCACTAACACAAGTAACAGCCTGAGCTGTCGGCTGGCTCAGCATCAGTACTAAACGTTCCACACTCATAGAAGAACAACAACACTGAACGTCTCTGCATTCAGCTACTGATATCACATAGGTGACGAGACATGATGACAGACAGTGGAGACCACAAACACTCAAACGAAAAGAGAAATGCGCCTGAAATAAGATATTCCAGTGAGGTGAGGGTACTGTCACCTCACTGAGACCTCATTGTGACACAGCTGAGATCAAGAAACTGAGACCAGTCTGAGACATTTCAGATTCACCCTTGAATCTTCACCATGACCTCAGAGTCAAAGAGACACACGGGTCAGTCTCACAGACCCTTTCAAAATCAAAATGAGATTTAGTCCACTTTGACATGTTCTTCCATGAATATACCATCACAGTTCAGTCAAGTAAAAAGATCAGTGATGGTCCAGATCCAATTTAAAAATTGCAAGTGCAACAAAACTACAAGCAAGGTTTGTTCCTGCAGAACATTCCACCTCTAACCAGTTAACAACGTTTGTTTCTCTGTAATATTGTTTATTCTTTGGTAATTTAATCTGTGTTGCTGCTTTTCCTTTGTGAAGAGTTTTAGCTTGTTTTTATACACAGAGTTCAGCAATTGTGTTCTTGAAGTAAAACTCCTATTCATTTTCTCTACAGGGGAACTGATGTTTAACATTAACTTATAAACTGTTAAAGACAGACCTACTGTAAAGTACATTGTTTGTTAATCGATGGGATATGCTTTTCTATATAGTAAAGGATAGTATGTATAGTAAAGCCTGAAATTCTTGACATTGTGGGGACCGGCCTATGGTCCCCACGAGGGAGAAAAATAATAAAAAATAGTAAATGATGTTTATCTGAAAGTGTAACAATGCAAACAGATTTTCTTTAAGGGGCAGGTTTAGGGTTAGGGGATAGAAAATATCGTTTGGTCAGTATAAAAGTAATCGAAATCTATGGAAAGTCCCCACAATTCAGAGAAACCTAACGTGTGTGTGTGTGTGCATGTGTATAAACAATGTAAACTAAATATGCAAAATCAAAATCTTTACATCAATGTCTTTTGTGATGCCTCAATAAGATTGCCCCCCCCTCAATAAAACCAATAAACACATTCTTTTTACATTTGATATTTTCATACTTTTTTGCTTCAAGTCAAATTTGGAAATGTTGTGATTCACCTCATAGCTGGTTGGTTTTGTTCAGAGCTTATAACTTTTTAAAGACTTTTTCGAAATCTCTGTAGGGAAAAATGAATGGTGAATTGTTACCATATACTTTTTATACCATTTTTGCACACAATGAATATTATACATTCATTATACAAAAGTCTTTGCACATTGTTTGAAGGACACCAATGTTCTAGATGTGGAATACATGTTCAACAGATTATCAAAATAGTCGTTAGCTGCAGCTCCTCTTCATTTGGTCTTTCTCTCACTGCATCTGTTGGTCTTCAGCATATTGTCACACAGCTGTTCTTCTGAGAGATCATTTGTGAGAACCTACCCTAACACACAAACATCACACACACCCCTAAAGCACTGTATCCCCACCACAAATCCAATCTTCAGCACCTCTCAGCACCCCATCATTCCTCTTAACCTCCGCCCTCTTTCTTCTTTATTCCCCTTCTCCGTTTAAGGCTATTTGCCCCTCTCCCTTGCTCCATTTTTCCTGTAATCTCCTCTCCCCTCCGTTCAAAATCCCCCTGCTGTCTTAAACAGAATGTGGACTTAATAACAACCACATGATCTGTATGCTGCCAAAAAACAGAAAAGCCCCTCACGCACACACATGCTTCTATCTGTTTCAGGGAAGGTTAGTGATGCTAACCTCAAAGCTTATTAGTCAGTGTGGTTTTGTGTCTGCTTTTGTGTTTGTTGTGTGTGTGTTACGTCTGCTACCGTGTGTGTGGTATTGGCCTGTATTCAGCAGTATGTGAGTCTAGTCCAGACAGACAGTGCTGTAATGTCATTACCTAATGCTCTATATCAGGATACGCTCCATTACTGACATCTCATGTAACCTAATCACGTCCCCTCATGAGCCTCACAGAGCCCACGAACACAAACAACCAAGCACAAATCACAAACACAAAATCAGAGTGAGAATACTGTATTATGCACGCAACTAGAAAGCAATGTGTGAACTGAAAGCATGTGTTCATACTTACCTGCCGTGTTTGGCCTCGGTCGAGTCGGACCAGGCGCTGGATGCGGTGATATCAGAGTCGGGTATGGTGCCATCCTCCATCCCCAGAGCATAGCGACACTTAGCTGCGTGTTACAAAAGAAAACACTTCAGACAGGCTCTGACAACACACTCCAAAACTAACTTATGAAACACACACATAATGAAGAATCAGGATTGTGACAGAACTATAACTAAAACACTTTATTGTAAAGTCTAATTCTCGCTATTAACGAACCATTAACTATGACTTTTGCCTTAATAAACTCCTAATTTGCTGCTTATTAATAGTTAGTAAGGTAGCTGTTAGGTATAGGTAATATACAGCGAATTTGTTAATAATAGGCACGCTAATAAACAACTAGTTAATAATGAGAATTGGTCCATATAGTAAAGTGTTACTGTAATTTGTTTGTTGAACTTAAAATAAAGCTGAGAAAAAAATATTAGATGAAAACTTAAAGTATGTTTAAATTAAATTACTAAAAATACTAAAACCAAAACTGAAATAATTACAACCAAATTAAAACTTAAAAATGATTAAAACTAAAATGAAAACAGAAAATCTGAAAATAAAAGCCAATTCAAAATATTGATAAATACTATATTAATATATAAATAATACTACAATAACAGTGATTTACTGTTTACTGGTTATTGATTATTTATTGAGTTATTGATTAAAAAAACGCTAAGGACATCACTGGAGCAATGTTTTATCAGACTTGTCTGAATTCTTGGGATATTTTTGTCCTTAAAATATAGGTAAATAAAGTCCCACACATGGCACAATGTCAAACTCTCACAAAAATACCAACGCAACGTTGCATTGTTGGAATTGCTTCAGCAATGTCTTATAGATGTAGCGCAGTGAGCAGAAAAAATGAAGAGATGAAATGAGGACAGCAGAGAAAAATTCTGGCACAAACAGCACTGAAATCATCCGCACGGTTCATATGTCAGTCCTGCCTGTGTGTCAGTCCAGAGGGTGTGCCTGTCAGTGTGAGCAGAAGCTGGGGATGATGGGTGAGGTTTTGGGGGGGACGTACTCAGTTGCTGTAAAGTTAGTCATGAGATAAGAATGGAAAGGCTGGAAAACAAACCCTGCAGCCAGCGAGACCCTCACACACACACACACACACACACACACACACACACACACAGAGAGAGAGTCACACTGTGGACAGGTGCCTGTTTCATTACATCACTCTGCTGCCAATAAAATGCTTTCTCTCTTCCATACTCTCTCTTTCTCTCTCCATGACTCTTAATCTGTCTATCTCACACATCTCCAGCTAATACAGAGCAGATGAGAGCAGCACTTTACAGTCATTCTGGATTATAAGCAGATGTCTTCTAGTTTCAACAATGAATGGTCTTGGTGATACGAATGCAGTCATTTTCTGCTCCTGATCTATTTGCACCTCCACGCTCATCTCTCTCTCCTTAGGAAACACATCGTCCTCACTAAATCAACTGTCGCACTTTCTAAATCTGGGGTTTCAAACCTTGGGGTGTGAAAGAGGGTGTGTTTGTGGAAAATGTTAGGAAGAAAAACTGAATTCAAGAATTCAAGGTCATTAAATTTAAACCAAAAGTAACAGTAAAGACATTTATAATGTTATTAACAAATGCTGTTCTTTTGAAATTCTAAAAATTTAAATTCTTTCTATTCATCAAATAATCCTGAAAACAAAACATAACATGGTTTCCACAAAACTATTAAGCAGCATAACTATTTCAAACATTGATAACAATAAGAAATGTAAAAAATAGTGCTGTCAGTCGATTAAAATTGTTAATCTAATTAATTACATGATGTTTCGATTAATTAATCTAATTAATCGCAAAATAAATTTGACTGTGAAAATACCCACAAAAGATTATTTAAAGCTATTTTTGTGTTAAATGAGAAAGTATATCAAGTAGACATTATAAATTGTAGCTTTAGAAAGAAATATTTTAATTGATTCAACATAAAATATATTACACAAACATTTAGGCTGCAACGGCCTAACATAAACTATGGAACATAAAAGAAGATCATTTGAGAAACATATCAGTAACCTCTATTTTTTGTTCATACAATAAAAGTCATTAGTAACCAAAACAGCTTTGTACCAACAGTCTTCAAAATACCTTATTTCTTGTTCCACAAAAAAAAGGTTTAAAACGACATGAGGGTGAGTAAATGATGAGAGAATCAAAAATTTTTTGGGTGAACTATACCTTTAATGTTTCTTATTTTTATTATTATTATTATTTTTTTTTTTTTTTAATGAAATGAAGGTTTAGAGTAGGGCATATAGGGATGCTCACTTCCGTTTGGAATTCGCCCTATGACTGGGCATTTGAATCATTGATTCACACGATTCGTTCAAAACGCGGATTCATTCAGAAACTAAACACCGCTGTGTCGCTCGGAGACGCACAACAATTCTGCTATGGCTTTAAAGATAATATGTTCTCTGTTAAATGGAGCAAAAACACATAATATTGTGTTTAAAATATAAAACAATATTAACTTCTTATTTACTGAACTGTTAGAATCACATTTAAACGCATGATAGATCGGAACAAAATCAGCACTCCTGTGATTTTGCTCTTGATGCTAGTGTGATATCGTGTGATATGTGATATACACAAATATGAGACAAAACTCATACAGGGGCATTTTTTGCACCAATATCTTGAATTTTATGGCATAACTGCATTTATACTAAAATACTTCTTTTGAAAGTCTTACTAACCCCAATCTTTTGAATAGGGATGTATAAAATTTGAATTTTACATATTTTCGGATTTCTATAATTTGCTTTGGCTTCAATGCAAAGTCTTTATCTAATATGAAGCTTAAAATGTTTTACAAACAATATAAATGGGCATTTTACATTAAATTATACTGCTGCATTTATACTTTAGTATGGAGATCATCATTTCTGGGGGTCCTTAGTATTATAAAGTTTGAAAACTCCTGCACTAAGCAATTAAGGTACTTTTTGCACTTAAGTTTTGTTTTTTTTTGCTGAAATACTGTCTTATTCATTAGCCACCTGCAATCCAGCTTAACCAGGTGCTAAATGAGCAGAAATAGTGCTGCAATTATTTACATTTGGCACTAGCCTCTTCATGTGGCATGTTATGTGAGCATTGTGCCACGTATTCTCAGACAAAAATCTGCTTTACCTCAGTTATAACGGCACATAAATGCACTTAGTGTGCTAGAAACTCCTCTATCAGAATAGCATTTCAAATCTTTTTTTTTTTTTTTTGTGAATTTCCCCCACTATCTCTCCTTTCTCTCCTGTCCTTTTCAGTCTCTGGCAAGCTATACATGCAGACGTTCCAGCTTATTACATGATTAACTATCAGTAACCGGTCATGGAGAAAAACACTGCAGCTCATACGCATGGATCATAAGCCTTCATTCAGGGACTGAATATAATAACTTCTAATGACCACAGAAACATTTCACAGGCATTAAAAACGCATTAGAAACCCCAACAAACACAAAAGAGGAAGAAAAAGTGGACTGGAAGAGTTTAAAGACAGGAGAGAAGACTGATTAAAGGAAATCTGACTTTAGGACTTTGGGAGGACCCACACATCCTCAGGGTCGGACCACAAAACCACAGTTAAATAAACTGAGAAAGGGTGTTTCTCACACTAGCTTTAATGTATGACAGGAGCAGAACACCATCAGAACACCTGACATTCTTACCAGAGTCAAAATGCCAATCCACGTCCTGGGCTGCCGTCCAGGAAACGAGGAGGACAGTGAGGAGGGCAGGCAACAACGGCAGAATCTGTGTTGCCATAGCAACAGTGACACCTGGTTACCTGTCCAGAGTTGAACTAACTTCTACAGACATACCTGAGGAAGAGAGAGAGAGAGAGAGAATGAGTCGATTACATTTATTTAAGTGTATTTTAACAATAAATTGAATCTATACGTTCCAATACCCTTATCCTTTTCTCTCTTATCTTTTTTGTTGAGCCTATTTATTTATTAGTAGGTATACCTGGCTGTAAAGTTTGTGTAATTCTGAGCTGTTGTTTTTCTTAGTTCTCTTATGTTTTACTGTTAAAGTTCACTACATATAGTTATTAAAAATATATATAAAATAATTATAAAAAAAGGATAACACTTTAGTATAAGGACCAATTCTCACTATTAACTAGTTAACTAGTTGCGTATTAGCATGCCTATTATTAACCTATTGGCTTCTGATTAGTACTTATAAAGCACATATGCTGCATGACCATATTCTACATCCCTAATTCTACCCAATACCTATACCTCTAACAACTACCTTTGTAACTATTAATAAGCAGCAAATTAGGAGTTTGAGGCAAAAGTCGTAGATAATGGTTTGTTAATAGCGAGATTTGAACCTTAATATAAAGCGTGACCAATAAAAGACTAAGTTTCCACATACTGTATTAAGGATGCACAAAACATTGGTACTGTATCGGTTGTAGTCTGATATTACAGTTCTAAAATATATCAGTAGTCAATATTAGTTTTTCTTTCGGTAGTTGTTTTTAGTTTTCATTTCCCCTATTTTTACAATTAGATTACCTTTGCCATTATCAAACGTTCACTCGACACTAAAACATTTATATCACTGTTAAATGTAATCTTTTAATAACACCGTTAAACACTGTTTTTATATTGCACACTATAATTTTGTGATGCCTAAATCCATTTGTAGCATTTGAAAACCCATTTCATAGTGGAACTGTGCTGCTATGACTATTACATTTGTATGCATTCAGTTTTAGGGTGAAATATGATCTCAGTTATGATGTCAACAAATGAGGGGAATCTCCACCTTTCTACAACTGATGAAGTCAGTTGGACTGAACAGATATAAACACTTGAGATCACTTCATTTACACTGGTGGTCCATCAAGCTCCATCCCAAACTCAACATACTGCAAGCTAACAGCCACATATATCAAAACACATTAGAAAAAGAAATGGCACAGCATGCCATGTTTTCCATTAACACCAACCCTTTCTCTCTGAACAGGATTTGTGTTTGTACATTAGGTTTCTTTTTTAAAAAAAAAACATTTGAAATAAAACAGAAAACGTATTTTAAATTGCAATAATATTTCACAATATTACTGTTTTTCCTGCATTACTGATCAAATAAATGCAGCTCTGGTTAGCATAAAAGACTACTTTCAAAAACATGAAAAAAATCTGTCTCAAACGTTTGAATGGTAGTGTTATATGCACTTATAGGTTACAGTTTTTTTGCTGTTATTCCAGCATTGCCTGGCATTGCTGTTATTCCATCCCCATTAAAAAAAGGTCTCTGTGAATATGTGATTTGTGATTGTATAGGTGTATATGGAATGGGGGTCTGTGAGTGTGTGTGTGAGGTGGCAGCTGTCCCGTGTGGAGTGACAGTGCTGGTTCTGGGCTCTGTGAGAGAGACAGACAGCTGATGCACAGCTGTGCAGACACAAGGACAAAGAGAGTAGAAGAGAGTAAAATCTGAAAGGAGGTGTGGAAGAGGTGTAGACGAGGCATGCATGTAATAGACCCAGCTTAATGGACTGTGTGTTAGTGTGTGCTTGTCATATTCAACATACTGTCTGTGTGTGTGTGTGTGTGTGTGTCTGTGTGTGTGTGTGTGTGTGTGTGTGCAGCAGCCAGTGCAGCTGTCCTGAGCTCGAGACAGGCGGGGGCCAACACACACAGGCTGCAAGTGTTTCCAAAACCCAGGAAAACAGAAAGGAAGGGAGAGAGAGAAATATCAGTCTGTATGCCAAATAATTTGCTATTGTAATACAAGTTTGAGTTTATTACAGTTGGCATTACGAATCCTCTCATGTCTGTTGACAATAAGTGCAATGGCTGTTGCGTAACCTTAGCAACCTATCAACAATTTCAATTAAGTGAATCAAAATGATTGAGAGGGAGAAATGAGACCACGGTCCAAAATTAATACTCGCCAAGCACCAATGCGAGTAAAAATTGACTTTGGCGAGTAAATAAAGTAGAGATAATTGCCAGTTGGCTGGTAACTTTATTATGCACTGCAACATTACCTCATCTAAGCCAAATTTGAAAAACAATAGTCTGAACTTATCAAATCAAATATTTATAATCGACTAAGTACCCTTAAGCATACTTTCAAAAATAGTACTGAATGGAATACTTTGGGGCATTTAATTGCATGTTTTATAGTTGAAATATATATTAAATGCAATTATCTGAACTTTAGAGTACCTTTCTGACCCAGCATGTACATCTTTGAATGTAATTTCATAAATACTTCTATTGTATTTAAAATATGGTTAAAGTGTACTGCCAAATGTACTGACAAGCATTTATGGTAAAATAAAACATACTTTAATGTAATTTCTATTGAACCACGTATTCATGTATTTCAAAAATACATGTAATGACATACTTGTAATGAAGTTGCAATTTAGTACATTTAAATTACATTTACTTTAAAGTTATTGTTCACTGAAAAAATGAAAATTCTGTCATTAATTACTAACTCTCATGTTGTTCTCTCTCTTTAATGGGCTTTTCACACTTGAAATTGTTAACCCTGGGTCATCCTAAACCCCGGATAAACAGAATCCTGGGTTATCTGTAATCACGTTTCACACTGCTCATACTAACCTTCTTATTTGCATATTTGCGGTATCATTGTCACTAATTGGATGAACAGCAGGCAACCTGTTTACACGGCTTTTCCTGCATCTTGCCAATTATAAAAAAAATGTCGCCGCGTAGGTCTTTAGCTGTTTTAAGCCTCATGAGACGCACAAAGGCTAGAAAACAAAAACAAAAGTACAAAAGAAAGAAAACAAGGAGCAAAGTACGTGAATATTTCTTTGAATTTCTTTTAAGTGTGGAGAGACTAGAATTAACTGTAAGAATAATACCGTCTCCTCATCACTCCATTTCACACGCTTTCCATCTTTTGACATTTCTTACTTTTCTCTCACCGGCTGCTGTTTACACGATGCAAGTATCTCTTTGAAAAGTGTCTCTCCGAGGACGTCGGACAGCATTAACATATGTAAGCTGGGTTTAATTCATGTAGTCTCCGCTGTCTCTTCTGCTGGCTCTTGTTTCTATCTGTTAAAAAATTCAGAGTGGCTATAGATTTAGCACAAGATGGAATAGCTAATGATGGTGAAAGAGGCTCTTCCCAGCATCTATGCAAATGCAGCCGTAACCTTCTCATCACTTTTACGATGTAATGAGATAGTGGAAGATGAATTTTCATCTCTGCTTATGTTTGGCAAGTCTCATCTTAAATCTGTAATTTGTTACATCCTGACTTAATTATGAGACTTTGTGAACATCCAAAACCTTCTCTTTTTCGCCCTCCGCAGGAAAAGTGCAGTGCTCCATCTGCGCTTATGAATCTAAGGCTTGTTTGTGAGGTTTGTCGCACAAGTGTCTGATGAAATGAAACTTGTTGGCTTTCGTAATTGTAGTTATCAATCATTTTTTGAAAGTCCGCCTCCAAAGCCCCACTCGGGTCAGTCCGGCGTCTGTTTATATGATAAGGTTAGCAAAAAACGACGACAGGGAAAAATTGTAAGGGGAAGAAAGTTTAACAAAGCATACTTTCCTCGTTCATGACTTCGATTGACCTTTAAGGATATGAATATCTGACATGATGAATCGTCCCTAGTGGAGCGACAGGCTATGTTCCTTATTAGCCAGCTGTGGTCAAAGGAGATAGGGGCATCCTTTAAAGGCATGTGTTATACTCCATATTAGTGTTCAAAATACAAAAAAAAAAAAAAAACCATAAAATGCGTTGCACAAATTCGAACATCTGGGTTGTGCTGTTCTGTTGTAAACCGATCTTAACAATGATTCCTCATTGCATCTACTTTCGGAAGGCCAAATAAAGTGCTTTTGCTTTCGCACAGAAACACACAGCGTCTCCCTGACATGGCTGCATCAACACTACTGCTGTTCCTGAAACCACGCCTTCTTTCTTTGCATGAACATTTGGGCCGGCATTATGCAAATATTTCCACATCGTGATGTAGACATGTGGGGGCGTGTTTGAACGAGGCGTTTTAGCCCAGTTTGGATCAGCCTTCTCTTTTAAATCCTTTTGTGGGAGACTTTGAGCTTTGTAACTCTGCAGATCATATACATGCACAAACAGCTACATAAATTAAAGAAAAGGAAAAATAGAAATCGCATCATATGACCCCTTTAAGAAACACTCATAGAAGTGTGCGTTTTAATAACACAAATAATAAGTGGCCTTTTATTTCATTAATATTACAGTACACTACAAGTGCACATTCAATACAATTAAGTACACTTCTTTTACACAAGCAACTGCAACATTCAATATGGCAGCTAGAAGACTGGAAGCCCTGTTTTATTGTAAAGATCCAACCATGTGTTTGTTTACTCTCTAGTCTATAATGCTCATGCACATTAGCTTGATCAACCTTTTTTCTCTTTTTTTGCATGATTTGACCTTAAGAAGCACAATTTAAATTGTTGTCAGATTTTATTTCTGATTTGAAATTCAAGTAATTTTGACAGTCATGTAGATTTATTTCCCTATTGAGATAGATAGAAGCTGTATTTACATGGCTGGAAATATTCACTCCAGGGCCGTTATGAATATGACCGCTGAATGAACTGACTTGCAGTTGATAAGATGCAGAGACTGACATAATGACTTGCACTGTTTTTCACTAATATGAAAGCAAACAAAATGGCTAAATCATCCCATTTTCATTAGTACACAAATGTGTATGTGTGCACAGTTTCACTGCCTGTAAGAATATTCTGGCTTGCAGTTATATAACCTTGGACCCTGAGCACAAAGGAGAAGGGAAAAAAACATCAGAAAA